GCTGGAACATCCTGGCGACGATCGGACGCTCCGGCCGGCCCCCCGCTTCCCGCCGCCTCTCCTCCTCGGGGTCCTCGCCGGAAGATCGGAGGGCTCGGCCCGCCTAGATCCAGAGTCTGGCCGCCGGACGGCCGCCAGAGACGGCAACAGGAGGGAAGCTGGCTGGCCGCATTAAGAGGCGAGCGCCCAAAAGGGAGACGCTCTCTGCAGCCGCTCCTCTCCGCTCGCTCGCTCCCTTCATCCACCAAGGGGGAAAAAGTTGCTGGGCGAAGTTCTGCCTTCTGTTTTTTTTTCTTCTTCGTCTCCCCCCTTTCTTCGCCCACCCCCCGCCCGTCCGCCCTCCCGCTCGCTTGCTCACTCCTTCCTTCGCGCAGCGCCCGAGGCGGCCCCTTTTAAGTCCAGCGGCAATCCATGAAGGAGAGCGATCGGGTCCCTTGCCCAAAGTGGCGCAAACGATTTGTTAGTTCATGAGCCTAATTAGTGCCGCGGATCACATAAACAGCTTCCTCTGAAGCCTGGTAAATGGCTTGATGATTGGTCGCTATTACTCGCCTTGAGGTTGAAGGGGGAAGACTCTTTAAAGTGCGTCAGAGGGGAGAGGCAAACTTCTGGCCGACGCGATCCTGGAGGGATGGATCCGGGCCCGCCTGGAATGGACTCCTCCGCCTGCCAGGCGAGACTGAAGGGGGCGAGGGAGGGAGCGACGGAGGGAGGGAGAGGCGCAAAATCACAGAGGAGGCAGGAAGAGACAGACGCAGCAGCAGCGGGCGGCGGTCCCGCGAGCGGAATCAAAGCCCGCCAGGAGTCAGGTAGGAACAGGGCGGTTTCACAGCTTTGAGGAGGGACGAGGAAGAGCTGGGGGCGGGAGGGGGGAGAAGGGAGTCCCTCTTCTGGCTTAAAACAAAACAAACGCCAAACGGGCATGCCGAACTCCTCTAACGCCGCGCTTCAATGGGAAGGAGGAGCTGAGTTTTCGGGAAAACCCATCTCCAACCTTTCTGGAGAAGATGTAGGCTCCTGGCCTCCGGGCTGAGTCGTGGGGGGACCCGGCGGTCTCCCTCGTTCTAGCTCCTTCTCGCGCTCCCTTTAAACCTTGGAGGCCTCTCTCGTCCGACCTGCAGCCCCCGGAGCGTCACTTTCCTCTTCGAAGGCTCCCCTCCGGGGACTTTTCCGGAACTCGTTTCGGGAGTCCTCACAAGTCTGGCGTTTTCTCCTCCGGAAAGAAGTTAGCGGGGAGGGCGCGCGCGTCGGGGAGAGGCCGTTCCACGCCTTCCCTGGCTCTTCTGGCAGGCGGCATCTTGGGTGAGACTCTTAGAACCGAGGTCGGGGGCAGGAGGACACAAAGCTGAGCTTGTGGTAAAGAGACGGGCGCGTCATCCGGGAATCCGGCTTCGTCCGGGTTTTCGAGATTGCCGTGGCGTTCGGGGACGATTTTTAGGGCCGAGTCCTCCTGCTCCCATTGGCTGCCGCGGTCGAATAATTATGATCACATCCTTACACTGCGGGCCGCTGCTTAGTGTTTATTGGTAGTTAAGGATCTATTATCTATTCATCAACCTCCTATTTTTACCAATTACACTCTCCTAAAGTGAGGTACCAGCAGGTATTTTTCACGTTTACCATTAATGATTTTAAAAAAAATCTGCGTATTTTAAATCTATTGGGCGATGTGATTTATTTTCTGAAAGGCGAGGAATTGTGCGTGGAGAAGCATATTTCTGCGGTACAAGAAAGAATGACAAACCCTGTTTCAGAACGCCCTAATTTTCTCTTGTTCTTCCTGTCTTCTTCCCAATCCTTTACCTAAAAGTAAATAATTCCAGATATTTGACAGGGTTGTTTAAACTGATCGGCACATTCATATAATTGGAAACGTATCTGCCTTTTTCATAACAGCTGTGAAAATCCCCACTCCCAACCCCCAATAAAACAAGACAAGGAAAAGTGTTGTTCCGGAAGCTACGATGACCAGGAATCTCTCGTGGGAACAGTAGTTAGAACTCCGTGTCTAAACGCTTGGGAGTTACCCTCACGCTGGGCATTTTGTGTGTGTCTAACACGAAATATATTTTTATCCATAGTCCACGTGCACTATTTTTATATTTCCTTCTATTCGGCATATAAAATGACATATAAAATATAAATATATTGGATATAAATATATGTGCTTATAAATGAATGCTGCTGAAATTAATACAATCATCAATATCATAGATAATAATTACATAAAAGCCAAATATTTTTGGCTTGGCTGTATGTAGGTGAAAGGGGAGAGCAGATTAGAGACGCTTTCGGCTGTGTACATCCGTGAAGGCAGAAGCGTATTGGTGTTCTTTAGCCTGCGCACATCGCTTGCGTTCACTCCTCTTATTCTTCCTCATATCCTGATGTGTTGGTGTGTGTTTTATATTTTTTCAGATGAATATTTAATTCAGTGAAGTATTAGAAAGAAAAGGGAAAGTTCCTATTTCTTTGCAGCTGAACTTGCTTTCACTTTTCTAACGGGCCGATTCCAAGCGTCTTTTCATTTCCCTGTAAGAGATTAACCTGCACTGTAAAACAGTCCATTCCCCCCCACCACCGCCCACCCCCTTCGTTTCACACGACTAAATATTTTGGCTACAGCCTTAGAAAAGAATAGCAACGAGGGAAGAGTGGCCTTGGAAAGGACATTTTGTATCTCTAGGCGAATATAGTAATAATTTTCTGTTAATCTGATGTAGAAGAATTCTCTTTATCTCAGTAATTTGGATTCATTAATAAAGAGTCTAAGGAATCACGGAATTCCTAAACGTGGAACTGCGAATCAACTCACTCCTGCCGGTGCACTTTTATTTCTGCCTAAGTGTGGATGCATAATATGGTAACAATAAATTGCTTTATCCCTGGTACACCCAGGAGAATTCTCCTGAAATCAGGGGACTTCACTAGTTCGGATAGATTGGCGTGCCAACAGATCTAAGTCCTCTTTACTCAAGATATCGCTATAGACAAACAGATACAGCAGAGTGATGGGAACAGGGGTGGGAAGCACGGTTTTGGAAGAGGAGGCTTCAAGGGCCACTTTAAAGCCATGTGTTTTAAAAGTTCCCAAACGGCGGTGATGGTGAAGGATCATTAGCCTGGGGAGTGGAAGAAGTAAAGGCACATCAACTTGCCTCTATCCCCAATTTTAACTTCCTCCAAGAAAGAAATCTCACTGTTTAAATCTCTTCAGCCTGGAGATTTGAGCCCGTTTGGTGTGTTATAGGGAGTCTCAGGCCTTTGGGGAGTTTCCTGTACGCTGGAGGATATTTCCAACCCTTAAGACTGAATAGCGACTCCGAAGGGAGGGGAAAGGCCGGCTGACTTTTTAGCCCCCTTCTCGGTCTAGCTTTGCGGGGAGTTGATTTGAATGGTCTCGGCATCACCTCCAACCAGATCTTGCCTGGCAAGGTCGTCCCCACTCTCCTTCCGCCCTCTTTGGACAGACAGCGCGGAAAGCGGCCTGTCCTGCGGGATCATGCTGCCAAAGGGCCCCAATCAGCGAGTTTTCCTTCTGGGTTTCAAAGGAAAAGTTTGTGGGGCTTTTCTGCCTAGGCCAGAATAAGCATCCCGCTTATTCAACATGCCCAGGAGCCGCTGGCCTTTCCAAAAGAGGCAGGCACTTTGTTGGGAAGGGAGAGGTTTTTAAACAGAACAGGAAGGAAAAGGGACCAGCTGTGGGGGGCTCCATGAAGCCAAACCCTTGTCTGTTACAAATCTTTACAAAAACCTGACAGCAGTCCTGATTCTTTTTTTTTGGGGGGGGGGGTCCTATTTTTTTCCAAAGCTTTTCATCCAGTGTGTTGAATTCAGATCCCTTGACACACACACACACACACACACACACACGCCCTGCTCCTTTCCCAGATCAGTTCAAGGCAGAAAAATCAATCCCACACCACAACCACCACCTCAAAATTTCTGGGAAATAAGTAAGTCCACATACATGTGAAAGTCCTCTCTTCCTGCTCTCCTCAGGCACCCGTTGGCTTGGTGGATCAGGCTTCAGCGAACAGGAAGGTCCAGGGGTGGGGGGGGGGGCAGAGAGATAATTAAGTGACTTCAGTGCAGACTCAGATTCATTCTCAGATAGGTTGAGGCTGCTCCGAGACCCCTTCCGAAGCATTTTAGTGCCTGGAGCCAGGCTGTCCTATGCAAACAGATCAGAGCCGGGTCTGCTAAGACACAGGAGGGCTTGACCCCTTGGGGAGTGCCTGCTTCTCTGGACAGTCAGGTGGCAGGTTCACTCAGGTGGAGGTGAGAGCAAGCCTTCTCCCATCCTAGCAGTAGCAGGAAAGAAAAAGGGCCCGAGCGGCCTGTGCTCTTCTCCTCACCTGATCCCTGGAGCAGCTTCCCCTTCGATCGGAAGAGGGGCCTTGCTACCCAGCCTGCTTCGGATGCAGCAAGGAATCCTGCATCACCGGCTCCTTGATGGCTTTTGCTGGGTGGGGGATGTTAGCTGCTAGATGGTCCCCAGATAGTCAAAGGAATCGCTCTTCCACAGGGGTATCTCAGGGGTATGCAGGAGGCAGGAGCCCTGGTCCCAGAGAGCCAGGCTTGAAGAATTAGAGCATCCAAGCAAGGGAAGTTCAAGATAAACATGAATGGGATCAGGCCCTGAATGAGATCTCTGGCCAGCGTATCCAGAAAGAAACTTCCAGAGGGTTGCCAAGATGACAACCTGGCAGTGCCCATGAATGACCAGGAGTCGACCTGACTGGGCGCATCTTTTTCTTTCCCTTATTGTCTTCCACTACTAAGAGACTACCTGGATGCAGGTTTGAACAGATCCCTGGATCCCCATCATGTTGTTCCCTTCTTCAGGCCAATTTAAGATCTGGAGCAGGCCAGCCACGTGCTGCCGAATGCTTGGAAGCAGAGGGGAGATTCGTTCATGGGTAGAAACCAGGAATGTGCCTGGTTGTGTGTAGCACTGTAAGTGTGCGTGTTGTGTGGGGATGGGGATGGGACAGACTCCAGAGGCTTGCTTACTTGCTTGTTATATAGGTTCTGGCACTCTGGTCTGGCTCTGCTGGGGTCTGCAGGTCAGGGCGGAATTCCCTCCAGAAAGCACTTCAGCCTGACAGGGGGAATTAAGCACCAGGGGACTCGGTGCACCATAAAGGGGTCAGGGATGGTCTCGGCAACATGACCTGAGTAGAAATGACCCTCTGGAGCCTGGCTGTAAATTAAAAACAAACAAACAAGAATGGCAAACAAAAGCAGAAATGGGGGGGAGGGAGGTCATCATATCTGGATGTTTGTGGATTCTGTCATTTGGGGAAGAGGGTTTGGATTTCAAAAGTTAGTCCCATGAGCTGAAAAGGGGACTGAGCCCAATACACCTTGTCCACGAAGCTGGCTGTGCATTATTCCGAGCACATTTATTTGGAAGTAAGACCTACTGATCTTCATGGAGCTTATTTACAGTGAAATAAGATGATCCTCATCTGATTAAGCTATCAAGATAATTACTCCCCCCCCCTTTTTTTTTAAAAGCAACATCAGTAAAACTGCATCAAAATATATACCACCCCCAGGCATCTGCATTTGGAAGGCTTTAAGAAGCTAACTCTTTTAATTAGAATCATATTATTGGCCTTAATGCTTTTCCATTCTCTCTATTGCCCCATAAGACAACATATCGGGCCAAGCAGAGGGCCCATAAGGACGAAAGTCCAGCTGGCTAAACTGCAAACTCTTTAAGAATTTAATTAGCAATTTCTAAACCCTTCCTAGGATTACAGCTCCATTGACTGTAGTTAGACATCATCTGCTCCATTTA